ATATTCGGCTTGGCTCGACTTGAATCCACCCCTACCCATAGGGAACCCATCCCCATTGGGGATCAGGGATGAGGATGGAGGTTAATTTCAGAATCAAGGTCAGGGATGAGGAATATGATCCCCAACTCGTTACCATTCCTAATTAAAGTTAGCATATCATAAGTATTAATGAGATATATATTGATTTTCTAAGCATATACATGCAAATTTTAAGCCTTCCACAATTTGTGTCGATGTTTCCCAAATGTATCCYAGTAGTTCATACTTCACATAATGCCATTATGCTTCTATGGGATTTAAGGGAATTTTCTCTACTACATCCAAGTGTATTGTAATAATTCCTAAAATGTACCAAATATTGTCTCTCTATATTCTTCACAATAATGATACTTTTACCCTTGCATAAATTGGCTCAGAATTCAGAATGATACAATCTCAAACCTAATAGAATTAAGACATAATGTTTATCCAAACCAAACAATATAAGGTCAGATCAATTGTAGTCATGGAGACAATCGATCAGCCATGTGGTACACTAGAACCATTCAGCTAAGATCAGGTCCCAAGTATTCCTGCCTCCAATTCTCAAAAGAACCAACCTCTTTTACAATAAATTTTTGCAAAAAAAAGAAAAGAAATGTTCAATTCTGATGATGTGCCAACCTTCAATTGGAAACAATTTAGAGGGTGTTTGTCAATGTGAATGGCTTTGTTTTCTAAAACAAAAATAATTATCATGTCAACAAAAACAATACAATTTCCCTAATGTAGTAGATTAAAAAAACAAAAAAAAAAGTATTTACAAACACCCCCCTTAATGTGACCTATAGGCTGCATAAGTGATTTCTATCTGTCAAATGGCTATAAATTTGGCCACATTAGACCATTTTGATGAGCCAATTCAATTATTTATTATCATTTCTAACAAGAGAAGCCTCTATGATTTTAAGTGAAGTTTCAAATTTGTGAAATGTGTTTTTTCTAATACAAATTTGCCTATTCTCTTCTCAAATCTTAGCTGGTCAAGGTTACCCTCTCTTTCACTTGACTTTTTTATTTTTCTTCTTTCTTCATCCTTTAATGGCGCAGTTCAACACCAAAGGTGCTCTGTTCGTAGCTATGCTTGTGGACCAAAATCCATGCAACACCTTTTGATCACTGCATCAATTTCTAATCCGCATTCACTCACATTAGAGTTGGGAAATTGACCCTTCATTTTTGTGAATAAACCAAATAGAACCCCAATAAGAAAAATGTTCGACAAATATGACGTAGGGATTCACCTGTAGAAATTCTATCTACAGGATAATACCTTTGCTTATATGAATCATGTGCAAATGAACAAAGGGTGCATTTGTTTTTCAATAAATGGAGGAGGAGTAGTTGGTCAGTGGGAAAATTGACCAACTCTCCTGCATTTGTTTCTTTCGATAAAAGGTGGATTCCACAATAAATGAAGCTTCCCTTAAGGCCCTATTTATTTTTCGGTAAGTTATTTATCCAGTTAAATGCAATTGTCCGGGTAAGTATTTCCTAGGAATGACTTATCAGGGCAAGTGCATTTACCCCATGTTCTTTTATTTCTCAGGTAAATAAGGCAATGACCATTTTAACCATAAAATTTCATTATTAAAATGGGCATTTTGTTCCATTCAAGTATTAATGACTTTCCTACAAGTGGGAAAGTTATTTGCCCACCTACGAGACGGATAGGAAAATAAACTTTCCTTGATCTCTACATAAATCTAAAAAAATTATACGGGTTTCTTGGTCAATGGGAATCAAGATCACATTGATTGACTAATTTTCCCTCCTCTCAAAATCTGAAAAAAGAATGTTCCCTAATGCTCAGTTTGGAAGGAGTACAAATACAAATATGTAGAGTCTAAATCCTTATATTTTTGTATGTATTTGTATTATACATATTTATATTTATACTCTTTTCAAACTGAGCCTAAGTATCATTTACCATCTTTCATGTGGGTAAGTAACTTTTTCACCTAAGGGAAAAGTGCTCAAAACTAATAATAAAACTAGTATCATTTACTTCCTTAAGTGCATTTACTCAAATAAATAATTTATCTAAAATAACTAAATAACAAAAATAGAGAACACTATAATATTTTTATATAAAAAACGAATAGGAAAACCATGAAACCTAATCTAGGCAAATATCCACTATTTTAATGTGAATAATGATGTTACAACTCTTTTGTTATAGACTGAGTCGTCCAATATCAAAAGATAACGACTCTAAAATAATTACGAGTCCAAAGGATAAAGACTCACTAAAATAATTAATAATCACCAACAAGTTGTATTCAAATAAATAAAGCCAAAAAAGAGCTAAGAAAACTCCTTTTGGAAAATCCAATAAAGAGCCCAAACCCAAAAAGAACTTGTGGAGACCACCCAACACTACAATCAATACTTAGGAGCATGGTTTTTAAAAAACGAACCAGAAACAGAACCGGTCAGGGGACCGGTTTCTGGTTAAGTGGTTCAACCGTACGGTCAAATGGTTTGACCCATGACATCATAAATAAATTAAAAATAAAAAATATATTTATAAATAATAAAAATAACATAAAATTAAATAAAAAACAGAAAAAATATAGAAAATAAAACTATCTAAATAAAAAATAATATAGTATAAAATACATAAAATACAGAAAAATTCTAAAAAATACAGAAAAACCACAAAAAAATAAAAAAATACAGAAAAAATAGCTTGAAATAAACCCTTAAATCTATATGTAAAAATCAGTGCAAAAAAACCATGATTTTGGGTTGTGAGAGATGTTTGGTTGAAGATTCTTCATTCGTGAAATGAAAAGACCCCTTTGAGGAGGAAATTGATTTATTGAAAACAAAGATTGAGTAGCAAGACAAGTAGCCTGAAGAGACAAACCGGAGCAAGCTAAAGAAGACAAACTCACTACTCCTCATCATCTTTTTTCTTAGCAAGGCACTTAAACCAGAACTCACCCAGCTTGGTCTATTATTTTTCCAAAAGAAAAAAAAAGAGGCAAACTCACGAATTTGGGTTGTGACTTGTGAAGATGTTTGTCCGCTACAAACTCACTAGACAACCGTTGCAAACTTGCCATCCGCCGCTGCAAACTCGCCTGCCACAACTCTTACTACTGCAGCCTGGAACTCTAGAAGTGCTGCAAACTTGTCGCCGCTGGTAGCCGTTATTCGCTGTTGATCGGTGTGTATCGTTGTCGGATGCTGGAGGTACTGGCCGCCGTAGGTGGTCAGTTAGGTGTGAGGGTTGAGAGAAGGGAAGGGTTAGAATGAAAATGGGTTCTAACCCTAAAGGCATTCGATTTTGATTTGGGGATTCAAGTCATTTTATTTTTTGTTTTTTTAATTAAAACTGTGAAAATAAAAAAGGATAACCCACAAACCACTACCCAGGTCGAACAGTTTAGCAGTCCGACCACCCGGGTCAGCAGTTTTTTTGACTTTTCAACATTTTCTTTTTTTTCAAATTTTTGGTTTCTAGTATAACCGGATTCGGGGGCTGACCGGTTACCGATTTTTCTGGTCCGGTTTTGAAAACCATGCTTAGGAGTGTTATAGTGTTACACTAAAAATTCATTTTCGAGATTGGCTTGTTTTGTGGATCAATGTAGATCTGGACCAAATGTGGTAAATGGGTTGTTAATTTGGATTGGGCCAACTTGGGTTAAGCGTTTGATAAATTTTGAATGGGCCTGGGCCCGATGTTGTGTTAATTCTTGACAGTTGTATTTTACTTGTGTAACTTACAATACACCTATTAATTTGTTAAATTAGCACATTTGGACATTATCATGTAATCACATTACAAGTATACAATGAGAAAGATAGCTATCCTACTGGGTTTATATTTATAATATACTGATATACAAATATATATAATTAATTTATATATACAATTGGTTTGGCATTCTTAAAAAAATACATCAGTTGGTCTGAATCTAATAACAAAAACTGATCTCGAATCTCGACCCAATTGTAATGGATTCATAATAATAAAACCCAGAACATACCCAGAGGTCCCTAATAATGCTGATCGAGATAGACGGATGAGTGGGTGTACTAAAATTTAACAATTCTTATGGTACCGGAAAGGTATGTGAGTGATGCCACACGATCTGAACGGCAATGGGCAAGTCACGACTTTTGCTGGAGATCTCGGCGACGACGAACTTAACTGTGAACACAGACAAATGCCATAGTATCCTCGGGCAAGAGGCTTTAATGGTTAAGTCAGTGAAATGGAAGAGTGAAGGAGATGGAACGAATGAAGGTCTTAATAATTTATAGAGGAAGGGCCTCTGTTCTGGAATGGATACATCATCTACACATGATTGGAATCTGGGTCTACCTATTATGCTCATGGTCAACCTGTTATATATGAATTTGGATCTGTTTCTCATGGAGCGCTTTTCACACTAATTTTACAACCACATCCTATCATGTATTGAAAATATCTCTTGTGAATAATAAATATTATACAAATACTGAAAATGTTACTGATCCCAATGTGTGGTTGATACATATTATGAGGTCCATACGAGGAGCACTCTGTGACAAATACATCCAGACTAGTTATATGCATGTTAACGGCCATGGGCCTGCTTCAAATATCCTGGCGCTAGTTAATTGGGATCTCCTCACAATACTGATAGAGTAGTAACACAATCTGATACAAAGGCATATCATAAAGATACATACGACTCATGGGATATATACCCAGTTATACGGTATCCTGCATCTATAGCAATTAATATTATACGATATATCCGTATCAAAAGTATTGTATATAGCCATTAATATCATACGATATATTCATATCAGAAGTATTGTATTGATACTAATTTAATCTTTGTATCGGGTTTTTAGTTTCTTAGGTATCGTTACCGTTTGGTACCATAGTCGAACACGAAATTTACCCTACAATGAGACAAGAAACCTGGATGGACTGATCGGCACCGTGTTTTAAGTTTTAACTTTTGATGGGCCGTCGCGATAACTTGTGCGACGATAATGCAGCAGATGTCGACTTCTCTTCACCACCTCTACACAGTATCAACACACACATCGATCTCCACGCGCTTCTGTAGGCTGAGAGCCTGAGATCGAGCTCCTTTCTAGATTCATTAGTGGAGCCCACTTCAGTTGTTAAGCCCCAAGAATCGAACACAGTTTTTGTTCAAATGAGCTGCGTTTCAACTGTCTGAAACGGCAACTGCTATATACACTCTGACACTCATCATTGGAATCCGAAATCAATTTCGATTTTATCGAACATATGCAGAGCTGAGCTTCCTTCATGGCCTCCATTCGCAGGCTTCTTCCTTTCTGTTCTTCATTACAGAGGACGGGCTTTTCTCTTCGAGGAACTGCAGAAGGTCCTTCCTATTTCTCTTGTATCTATCCATCTATTATCTGTTTTTGGGAAGAAGAGAAAAATTCTTACACATAGCAACTTGTTTTAATCCAGGGTTTGGAGTCGGAGGTTCATGTAGAAGCTTCAGTGCTACAGTAGCGTCGGAAGAAGCTATTTTCAAATGCCCGGACGAAGATGGACGGGTGGAACCAGAGGTTCTGGTTATGGAAGATGAGATCGCAAAGATCCGACGTGAATTTGAGGCGGCGAAACAAAGCTTCCTCAAGATTCCAGAGGCTCTCAGAGAAATGCCCAAAATGAACCCTCGAGGTTATACTTTTCTTCCTTCCATTCGAACTTATCAATTGAACTGAGGCTCACTGTTCTAGTTCTATTTGATTTTTGGGTTGGGCATTTTGGTTCTGGCGTTCACTGATTTCTTATAACTCAACTCTGAACTAGGTATATTTGTCAATAAAAACCTGAGGTTGGACAGCGTGCAAGTCTATGGCTTTGACTATGATTACACGTTGGCTTATTACTCTTCTAACTTACAGAATTTGATATATGACCTTGCCAAGGAACATCTTGTGAATGAGGTTAGAATGGGGTTGATGACATACTGCACTTTATAGTGTTTTCATTTATGGTCTTCAGTGTTCTAGGAATCTGAATGAATTTTCTTTTTGGTATTGGTTGCATTCTGTCAGTTTAGGTATCCTGAGAGTTGCTTGGGATTCAAGTATGATCCTTCATTTCCCATCAGAGGTTTATATTATGATAAACTGAAAGGATGCCTCTTGAAACTGGACTTTTTTGGGTCTATCGAGAGTGATGGATGCTTCTTTGGGCGTAGGAAGGTACAGTGTCATTATAAAACTTTGTTTGATGTTCATATGCTACTCTATTTAATGAGAACTATTTTGCTTTGGATCTGGTACCATGTTGTTTTTCCCCTTACCTTTTCTTCCCCATCCCCTCTTTCCAATTTCAAGAACTATCATTGCTTATAGAATAAGGACTACAAATTTCTTCTTTGCATGACCTACTCTTGTCACTTGCTTATAATCCAGTTTCAACTTTCAAGTGCTTGCAACAGAGGAAACATATCAAAATGGCTAAAAATTTCTGCTAAACCAAGGGAGATGGCATGTAAAGTGGATTAGGAATTTAGGATGTAGGAAGTGGATGATTTGTATGACCTGGAGGTTGGTTTAAGGATGCATAATTTGGCTCTAAAGAGTGAATACATATAAAACTCAACTTGGGTTTCTCTAGTATTTCAGTTTTCTTATAAGGACAGATGACGCGTGGGGCTGTAACCCCCATAATTGTAGTTGATTTGGAGGGGAGTTGTCCTTTTAACTGTTGAGTGTTGTATACCAATGGAACCATGTAAAAGTCTTGAGACTCTTGACAGCTAGACCTGTTCATGGGCCGGGCTCGGGCTTAGCTTTTGCCAAAATTTGAATGGGCCTGGCCTGAAGCCTGAGCCTGCCTGAAACAGTGTAAAATTTAGATCGGCTGAAGCCGAAGCCCGGCCTGTGAACAAGTCTATTGACGGCTATAAGATTAATCACATTTTATATAACTGATTATTAAGTAATGAAGAATAGCAGGATGAACAACTTGATACTTCATTGGATATTCTAAGGGTTCATTTGGGAGGCAATATTGTTGGTAGACCGTATGAAGGTCTTGTTCATGTGGGTTCTGATATTTGGCATACTTTAGCAGATGGATTGCCAAGGGATGGGCCAATTGGGTAGTAAGAAAATCTTTGTATTTGGGGGATGATATTGCTGTTTGAGAGTTTATACAGATGATGTTTTAGTAGATCAGTGACTCAGTCTGGATGACTATTTTTGATTGATATTATGGTTCTTCCTTTCACAACCAGTTGAAGGAGGATGTCTTTATCTTCCTGCTATATTTTCTTTTGCTATTATTTAGGTGCCTTGATATTCTCAAGAAACTATAACTTCAAAGAATGAAGCCTGCCTCAAGAAACCAATTCTCCGACTTGATTTCAAGCCAGACAGTGACCACAAACATTTCTCCCTCCACCACTATGTTAACCGCTTAAGGAGGCACCCCATTCCACCGCACCTTGATTCTTACACATTCGAACAACTCCCTGTGGATCTTATTATTGTCCACTTCCACAAATCCCCCATAGAGGTCCCCTATCCCTTTTATGATTTCTTTACTCTATAGCTGTAGCGGCAACCTGAAGATTCTGACCCAGAGGAAACCTTGAATGCCTCCGTTTTCTTCCACACTTCTATTTCTTCTGACCATGGTTCCAGGTGAGCAAGGCTCCTTTACAACATCTCGCCCCTGTGTTCAGATTCTCCTTGCTTCCTCTATAGAGGGTAGGAAGAAAAGCCATCTGTCTTCATCCAGCTTTCTCACGTCGACACCCTGCGGGTGCCCAGACTCTGACTTCCTCCATCTCCAAACCCTTCCAGTCGAAAGTACCCACCAAACATGCCTGCAGAAATAGCTTCCTCTCCTTCACCTTTCCTTCTTCCACCTCCAGGAAGAATGATTTATCGTTCGCCTTCAGTCTAACCTGTCCCCCCTCCGGCCATCAGCCAAAGAAAGATGTTCCTTCTCCCCTTTGCCTTTCCTCTGTCTTCCGGGTGCCTCGCCACCTTCGAATGTTGGGCCGTGGGCGCCGCCCATCACTTGCTTACATCTTGTAACACCTTAAGGTCTATCCCAGCCTCTCTAGCCCATCACTTGCTTATGGCTTTTACCACTTAACCCAAAACCTTTTTGCACGGTGCTCTTGTTGTCTTGCTTGGTTATTGATGTGCTACTGTTATGTTTATCTTGCGGAGATATTTTTTACTTATTATGTGGAGTGCCATTTCATCACCTTTAGCATTTTATACTCTTTTTCTTTTAGTGAAAATTCTTTTTTGACTATAAAATATTTTCATCATCATTGAGTCCTGTACCACCCCTAAGAAGGATGTCATTAAGACAGCATATAAAGACTTTGAATGCAAGACCTATCAGAATAGTATGTAAAGGAGACTTTCTTGATGCTAAGCTTATGGATAAGTCAAGTCATTATTTCCAACTTCTTAACTGTCAAAGTATACACCAATATTTTGAAAATTGCAATTGTATCATAAATCGTAGAGAAATTTGAATTGAATCAAATCGTGAATCGTATCGTAAACCATAAGATTATTTCTATTTTTTACAAACTTGTCTAAAAATTAAATATAGGTATATTAAAAGGCTAATTATATATAAGAAAGTGACTTTACCCTATTTTTAATCTATATCTACCATATATGTACCTAAAACAATAGAATTTACCACTTAACAATAGAAGCCTAAGATGATATAATCAATTTTGACTTGAAAATCAAACAAATCTACATACAATGGCTTTTTAACCTACATATGATGGAAAATAAACTCAACTTCTTGTCTTAAATAATGTAAATAAATAATTTTCTAGTAAGGGCTTTAAAAAAATCTCCCTTGGCAAAATTAAATATAAACAAAAAAATAACAAAGTAGAGAACTAATTCTTAATTGAATTTATTTGAAACATGCTGAGTCATAGAAATTGTAAGATTTATGAATCAAATTGTGAATTGTAAGATTTTGACAACATTGGTATACAATATTAGAGAATATATTAACCTTGGATTTGTCCATCTCTCTCTCTCTCTCTCTCTCTCTATCTATCTATATATTACAGAAGTCTGTTGAATAACCTGCATGCCCTAGATCCCCATAATTTATAGTATGAACCTAACCTTTAAATGCAAATTTCTCAGCAGCTATGTGGGCAACAGCCAATGCATATTTCCACCTGTATTTCTTTCTTTAAAATTAACTTTCTAGATTTGATCTCTTTAATTCTTGTGGTATAATTTTCTTTTCTTGACATCACCTAAAAGAAAGCAAATAAAATCATTGTTTGAGCCTGTATAAAGTTTAGAATAACTTCTAGTTCAAAAGAATGGGGAGTACCTTTTTCTGACACCATTGTAATTCCATATTTATATCCAGCTTAGCAAGAAGGAAATAGAAGAGATATATGGAACACGCCATATTGGTCGAGATCAAGCACATGGACTTGTTGGTCTTATGGATTTCTTTTGCTTTAGTGAGGTTAGATACTCTTAATATTGCTCTCTGCTACTTCTGTTTTACATGGTAGCTGTAGTTAGATTTACATCATATATCTTCTACCTTTGTCTATTTTCCTTTTCATTTAACAGTGTGCATTTGAACACCATTTACAGTGCACATGGTAGCCTTAACAAGTGTCTGTTTTCGCAAGGAGGGGTTTGTGTTTCTGGTCAGTTAACGGGCTGATGGTCTATGTTTTAATGGGGATTTGTTATGGTGTCTTTTCCTTGAGCTTCGATTGGAATTGATTGGGTGTCATTTTGTTAGTAAGCGGTGTGGTTAATAGGTCTATAAGGGGTTGTTGAGGTTGCTCTTCTTCTCTCAGTGATATCTTATCACCTGTCTGTTGTATCTCTTTTTATTTCAATAAAATTTTATCTTTATTCTTCAAAAACAAATCTATTGTGGTGTCTAGGGGTAGGAACTATGATGCAACACACCATTATCAACCAAGAATCCAGCCAAACCTTTTGTAAAACAGTCCTTTGCATTATCTTCTTGGAACATTTGATTGTCAACATGGAACTAGGTGTATACCATGCAATGAAATTCTCAAACCACCTGAGGTACCTCTTCACAGGAGCGGAACAAATAGATTCATGTATATTGTGAATTGTCATCAACAAAGCTTATAAAATAATGATATCCACCATCAATACCACAAAAGCAAGGCCCACACATCAGAATATACTATAGGATTGGAAATTCTAATATTTTATTTCTCATTCGAAAAGAGGTTCTACAATGTTTGCTTAACTGGCACGTGAACATTGTAAATACATCGACATAGACTTAAACAAAGAGGGAAACGACTCTTTAGGGCTTCAATTGATATATGACCCAATGAAAATGCCACAAATAAATTTGACTCTAAACAGAACTATCACTAAGTCTCATAAAGACAACAGGAGGAGAAGCCATTGACCCAATGACATCATCCAAGAGGTATAGGCCATCCATCACATGACCCTTACTAATCATCCTCCTTGAAGCCAAATCCTGAAAAACATAAGAAGTAGGAGAGAAAGTCGCTTTATAATTCAAGGATTGGGTCAAACTACTGATAGAGAGTAGGTTACTAGGTAATTTAGGAACATGAAGAACATGGTCAACACTAGCCCAAAAGGAAGAGATACAGTTCTTCAATCAGCAATGGAAGAGAGAATCATATGCTAGTCTCACCTTATCTCTCCCTGACAGTAATTGATAAGAGGAAAAAAGATTGGGCTCACTGTTCATGTGATTAGAGGCCTGAGAGTCAATAATCTAGGGGCCCCTAGGAATAGGGTAGCGTGGAAAGCAGTAGCCTGACCTAAGCTAGCCGCAAATAAGTGTACGGGTTAGAAGTGTTTCCCTCATGCTACTGAAGGGCCCTACCAAACTGTTTAAGGAGAACTGGTATGATCCTCCTTCAATCTAGAACTCTTACCAGGTGCAGTGGGAGCCTGAGAAATCTTCTCATCATGACTAGGTGATGTAGGACCAGCTCAGTTTTATGGCTGTCGATGGCTGTAATGGCTTCTTGAAGGAATAAGAGAGAAAATAGGGAGAGAAAGAAGAGAGAAAATACCTGGAATCACTCACAGGGTGCCTAGAATCACTCTAGGGCATGGGAATCACTCACCATAGCTAGCATAAGCTGAAGAAAACTCAATAAACTTCATTGCCTTTGTGTAAAACGTCCATACATATTTATAGACTCTAAACTTGTAATAATCCTTGGAGTCAAACTGTTAGCTCATAATAGTCTTAGGAGTCAAATTGTTAGACTCAATAATCTTAGTAGGACTCAAACTAAGTTGTCATATCCTATTTCAATTCAAAGAAGACTCGATAACTCTAATCCTACTTATGCAATGACTCAGGAATTTTAAACATAAAAAACTATAACTAGACAAATTAAACCCTATCAATGGACCCCACAGAAAATTGCAAAATGAAAAAAATACCCCTATTGTCCCAAAATACATAAATACATAAAATTTCATAAAATTCCAACTTTGACTCTTCAGCTCCTGCATCACTATGTGTGCTGGTCACAACATTGGCTGAATTACTATTCTTCTATTGGTTCCTTGGCTTCTTTTGTTGGAAGTTCTTAGGCTTCCCAATGAAGTCTCAACAGTGCTCCTTAGTGTCTCTTTCTACCACAATGAGTACACCAAAGTTCATCCTTGTCAACCTCTTCAGACCTCTTGGACTAGCCACCCTTTTTTTTTGATAAATGAGAGTAATTTTATTAAATCAAATAACAAAAATACAATCAGCCTAGGAGGAGGCATGAGATGTTACCCCCCTAGGACTGAACCATATACACCAAAACTGCCCAAGCCTGAGACACAATTACAAAGTAGCCCCAAATAGATCTCCCCTTGACACCCCTTGCTTGGCCAGAGAATCAGCCATTGCATTTTCTGATCTTCTAACCCACTGAAACCTGACAGTCATATTCCTTGTCATCCATTTAACTTTCTTTAACAGATCCCTGTAGCCCCAACAAGCTGTTTCTGGCCTAATTAGCCAGCCTACTACCACCTTGGAATTCCCTTCTACTAGCAGATTTGTCACACCACTTTGACTAGCCATTTGTATGCCTTGTACCGCTGCTAGTAGCTCTGCCCTTATTGAATCACCTTCACCCACTGGTCCTGAAAATAGAGACAACATATTGCTGTCTTTGTCTCTCAGAATCCCACCAATTCCTGATGGCCCTGGATTGCCTTGGCAGCTTCCGTCAAAATTCAATTTTACCACAGCATCCGGTAGTGTGAAGATTTTAACCATGAAATAGTCCTTGTCAATATGCATTCCTTGATTTCAGTGAGACTTCTTTCATGTTCTTGAAATATTCTAGCATGTCTCTCCTCCCATACAGTCCACAACGTAGAAGCTCTGATACATTTCCACATTAGCTTCCCTCTTTTTGTCAATCTCCCAAAAGCAGCCGGAGCGAACGTCCACTTTACTTCAGAGGGCAAATTCCACCTGCACCCAAATAATGAAACAACCTAGTTCCAAATATTGGTAGCAAAGGAGCATAATATCAGCAAATGGTTACAGTCCCCACCCTTCACTTTACACAGAGAGCACCAATTAGGGGACAAACACATAAAAAATTTCTTCTTTTGCAAGTTTCCGCAGTATTGATCTTACCATAATAGGCTTCCCAACAGAACACTACTATTTTGGGGGAATTGGTCTTGACCATACCTCTTTAACGGGAAGACTTGAGAGGAGGGATTGGAGCAAAGGGCTTTAAAGAAAGAAGCACAAGTTAATGAGCCAACCGGGGTTAGGGACCAGACTCTTGTGTCCGGGTTAGGGGGGTCCAAACACACCGAATCTAGATGAAACAACAGCTCTGAAACGCAAAGGATTTCTTCATCCCTTAACCCTCTTCGAAACCCAAGATCTCAATTTAAGGCCAAAGGGCAAACCGGGGGGGGGGGAAAGGAACCAAGAAATGGGTTTCTTTTTAAAGAGGGAGATGGAGTAGAGAGAAGGGAAACGGTCTTTTAGGGGTTGAGAGCTCACCCAAGTATCTTCCCAAAAAGGAATGGAGTTTCTAGAGCAAACATCATACCTTACAAAACTGAGGAACTTAGGAAGAATGCTAGAGATAGCCTTCCAAGGTGTTGTGAGCAAAGCCCTTCGGGATACTCCCGCATCCCAACCTGATTCGGAACAACCATGGATACTTTTCACTACTTCATGCCACAACCTCTCCCTCTCCAGGGGCCACCTCCAAAGCCACTTACCTAAAAGAGCCTCATTCTTGCTCACGTTCCCTAATCCTAGGCCTCCTTCTTCCTTACTCCGACACACCACCTCCCACCTAATCAAGTGAAATTTTTTCTTTTCACCAGGTTCCCATAAGAAATCCCTCATTAGTTTTTCCAACCTCTTTGCCTCTCTCTTAGGAATTCTAAAGACTGACAGGAAGTATAATGGCAAGTTGGCTAAAGTTGCTTTAATCAAAGTAACTTTACCCCCCTTGGAAATATAGTTTCTCGTCCAAGCTGCCAATCTTTTTTAGAATTTTCCACCACCGGGTTCTAGAACCTACTTTCCTTTGGATTTGCACCTAATGGAAGTCCTAAGTAGGATAGAGGTCACTGAAAGTAAGTGCATTCTAGCTGGGCTGCTATAGACTCCAACTCCTCTCTATTCAAGTGAACTCCCACAACAAAACTCTTCTCAAAATTTACCTTTAAATTTGAGGCCCTCTCAAAGTGAATTATTAAATCCTTCAAATTCCTTACCTCCATCAAATCACAACCTTCACAAAAGATTATTATGTGATCTGCAAATTGGAGATGGGTTACTGAGATTCGGCTCTATCTGCTTCTGAGAGGAGTCTACCAAAAGCATCAACGACTAAAGTGAAAAGGAACGATGACATGGGATCACCTTGTCTTAGACCCCTACTAGCTGGGAAAAAATCATTAACTGCCTTGTTGACTAGGATGGAATAATGGCAATTGGACAGGAAACCATTTATCCATTTGCACCATTTATCCCCAAACCCGCACTTCCTTAGCACAAGTTGTGAGAATCCCCAATCCACCAAATCATATGCCTTTTCAAGATCAAGTTTACAAACAAAACCTTGACGCCCCGATCTCCTCATCTCCTCCACACATTCATTTGCTATTAGAATCTGATCTACAATTTGTCCCCCCTGTACAAAAGCTCCTCGCACTTGGCTGATAAGACAAGGAAGCACCTTTTTTATCCTCAAAGATAAGACCTTAGCCACAATCTTGTAAACAATAGTCACCAAACTAATAGGTCTAAAATCCTTTGGATGCTTGGCCTCTTTCTTCTTGGGAATTAAGGCTAAAAAAGTAGCATTAATTCCACGACTCATCACTGGATTATCCTCAAATTCCTTAAAGACCTCAATTAAATCTTCTTTGACTATGTCTCAACAGTCTTGGAAGAAAGCCATTGTAAACCCATCTGGTCCTGGTGCTTTTGACCTGCCCATTGAAAAAACGGCTTTTCTGATTTCTTCCTCCTCAAAATTCCTTTCCTGCCAGCTTCTACTCTCTTCTGGAAGTCTCTGCCAGGTAATGCCTTCCAACTCCACCCTAGGTCTTAGGGGTCTCCTCAAAATGGATTTGAAGTGGTCAACAAAACGATTGGCTATCCTCTCTTGGGTATCAATGACTATTCCATCCATTTCCAGCTTGGACACTAGGTTTTTTCTTCTCCTTCCATTGGCTAGGTTATGAAAGAATTTAGTGTTCCCATCTCCTTCCTCAATCCATTTACATCTAGACTTCTGCTTCCAAGAAATTTCTTCTCTCACAACAACTTCATCTAACTCTCTTTTTAGAACCCATCTCCGATCTCTCTCCTGAGGGCTTATGGTTCTTTGGGATTCCTTCGCATCCAATTCCTCTATTTGGGTCAACAGAGAGGATTTCAATTCTTCTATTCTCCCAAAATGCTCCCTATTCCACTACTCTTAGCAGCCTTTTTAACACTACTCTTAGCAGCCAAGGCAACCTGCTCCCCCTCACTAAGATTCATGACCTGCCTCGTAGTCTCCTTTGATTGATCAAGAGCATACACTTCCTGTAAACTAGGTAAATCTTTACTTATCAATATTTGAATTCTGATTAATTCATAGATTGGGTTGAGACTGGCTAGAAATGCATACACCCTTAGCTGAGACAATAACTTCCTATAATCCTTAGCATCATCCACATCCCTTCAAGCAAATGGTTTGATGGTAGTGAGTGTGGAATAATAGGATGATAAACTCTTGTCCCCTGCTTACAAGAAGCTGACTCTACCTGTAACTGGTATATCCTAGCATGATGCCTTTGCTCAGAGTAAGTAGCTTTGACCTGATCCCAACCTCCTTAGCAGTTTCAGCCCACATAAAATTCTTCCTGATTACTTGCCAAAAAARAATCTTCCCAATTGATGGATGAATGGATGATAGCAACCATGGCATAACCAAGGTTCAAAATTTCGACACAATACACCCCATATCAAGCGTATTGTATCATATCAGCAGATCACTGATATGCAAAATTTAGATCTTTTGGGGTCAAAACCCATTTCATGGGGTAGGCAGGCCTTAGAGCACTCCCTCTGAATGGGTTTTGAAACAAAAAATAAAAAAAATAATAAAAAAAATCAACTGTGGGGTTCAAAGTACCGGTACACCTCTTCTGCCATATTGGGGTGCATTGATACTTTGAACCTTAGTCATAACCATGCAGTTCTCTTGGTCCCACTTATCATGAATGGGACCTTTATTCTTTGCTTCTGCTATACTAACTGTCAAATAGCTAGTCAAATAGCTACCCTTGGCTCATTCAAGATAGTTTAGACCACCTAGAGGGGTAATAGGAATGGATACAAGCACATTATCGATCTGATCTTACAACCCGGACTGAGATCCAGTGATTGAAGAAGTAGCTGAATCACCACTGGCCATGCAGAAGAAACAAGAAACAAGAGACAGGTCAGCCTTTTATGGACCTTGATAGCACCGCCCAAACCAAAAACTGCAAGCTTTTTGTCCCCAGAAGCAGGTTACAACACTGATACTACACAAAGCTGATAACACATTCAGCACATACACAGCTTCAACTGTATCTCGGGGAATACCTCAACACCTTCACAAAACAAACCAAACATGCAGGTGTACACCTGTGTATGGCAGAGAAAAGAAAGAGGTATCCAATCGAACCTCTTCATGTCTAGTCTTTATGCCCGCAGCAACAAATCTTCTTGGTACATGACAAAGGAAGAAAAAAGAAGAAACAATAGCCATGCCTCTTCATCAGCCCAGAAATCAGTGAAGTAGCTTTTGAATAGGTTTATCAATCTGGAACAAAGAAAAACAAGGAAGAGAGAGTCTAGAGATCAGCTCATATGATTAGAAACCATGTTCTGATACCATATTTTCTGTGCTAGAAGCTTGGGAGAAGAGAAAGAAAGAGAATCAAGTGATTGAGGTGCACAAAGAATGTGGGCGGCAGCCCCTTTCATTATTATAAATAGGGTGAACATAAAGAGAGATGAAGAAAGACCAAACAGCCCCTATGATATAAAATAAAATTAAAACATGCATAATCAACAAGGTTTGTTCATTATGTGGGTTGATGGTTCACTGGGATTTTGATGTAGATCATTTGTCTTTCAGATTGGGGTTCTGATCATTATTAGAATTCTAATAGTTCACTGCTACTAATGATTCTTCACCTTCCACTGCCACTTTTAGTGTGTAACTTCACCGTTGATGTCCAAACTCCAGGGTATTGGACAATGAAAACCTTCCCCAAATAAAAAATCCTTGGTGACTCTTAACTTTTTCCATCTAAGATTTTCTTTATCCTTAATAAAGTCACCCAGGGAATTATCGTTCTGCACAAAGGTAGCCCACTACCACTCCTTTAGCAGGCCCTATCACTTGTGTGAATTTTGACCAGTTGACCCTCCTTCAGAAGTCTTGATCTTCATAGCACCCACTGTGCTGCTTCACCACTCCTGTGTGTTGAGTGCCAAACACCACCTCAGAAACTAGTGTTTTGACACTCTAATACAGAATTATCCTTGATCCCTCAATTCACTTAGTTGTGATATGTTAAATCATCCCTTACACCTTGGTTGGAATTTGAATAGGTGCCAAATCAGCAAACACTGCTGAAAATTCTTTGGCAAAACTGCAAAAGGAGCAAATAGAGAAGAGCTGTACTAGGGGATCTTCCGTACATGTCTTTGCATGTATATTTATGTATATGCTCATTCACACAAACTTCATTTGCATCATTACACTTGAAAAGATACATTGAACTCGCATATTATTGCATGGTTTAGCAAGCTCAAAAATTTGAGCTTGTGTTTGTATGTGAAACATAACCAAAATCTTTAAATTTGTCTACTTTGCTTGCTGATCAAGACTCATCAATTGCTTAAACCCTGGGATTGTTTAGAAGAATTCTGTTCCTAGCTCTAATCACTTTCATTTGCTAAACCTTTATTTCTTGATCTCGTATAAGACCCCAAGTTTCCAAATTTTATTTTATTGACTTGAGCTTTAAAGTATACTCTCTGGGTCCATGCTGGATCTAGTTCAGCTCTAGGTAGTATCTGGTCCCAACCGACCTTGGTGGTGGCCCCATTAGTTGGTACAAGAATGTTATGTATAATTTCAAACATAACCTTCTTCATCAAGGGGGTTGGTTGCATGCTGAATATTAGACAAGCCTTGACCCTGATGCAAGATGTTAAATTTCTTTTTCTATTGTGCTTTATTTTATCCTAAGCACATAGAATTTTCCTTTTTGAGTGTATCCCCCTTAGGTATGTTTGGATTGATTTATTGGTGCATAACTGCTTATATTTACATATTTATATGTAATGCATCCACAGGCTGGTCTTGTATTGTCAATTGCATGAGGTTCATTTTTACCCTTCTCTGACAGTTGCAATTTTTTTTCTGTTTTTCCTTTGTAGGCATGCCTTATTGCAGATATAGTACAACACTTTGTAGATGCGAAGTTGGAGTTTGATGCTTGCTACATCTACCAAGACGTAAATCGTGCGATTCAGCATGTTCATCATAGTGGTTTGGTTCATAGAGGAATTCTCTCTGATCCTCAAAAATACCTAGTAAAGAATGTGAGTGGCAAGATTCTTATTTATTATATATGTTCTAAGGATTCCTCTCCCTCCTTTACTTGAATGTTGTTACAATCTCTATACCCTTTATCGAAAGAAGATTCTTATTTATTATTTACTACTGGTCTAACCATATAAAAGGTTACTGCTAGTCACTTTTCATATTTTTACAAAATTAAATTCAATAAAAACATTTAAAAGGAGGTGGAAATAAGTGTTTGCATAGAAAGCAGTTTCTTTACATTAGACTGCAAATTGATTTTGATAAGTTGCATTGTGGATTGACTTTATTGGGTAAACACTCTAGGGCCAGATGCTACGCTTTCTCAAGATGCTCAAGGAGAAGGGGAAGAAACTATTCTTGCTGACTAATTCTCCATATTATTTTGTGGATGGAGGGATGCGTTTTATGCTGGAGGTGATTTTCATGCCCTGATAAATTCTGATGACACTTGTTTTACTACTCACTAATGCAAATCATCATCCAAGTAGCCCTAATAACAATTCTTGTATTCTTTACAAGGTTAGTTCATGGTTATTCAGTATGTAGCAGGTAAAGCTTGTTCGTTTTAGTTTATTCTTGTTCATATTTACATGTCATAAATTTGGAACTTCTCAAGGACAAAAGAAAGTTGGGTTCCAAATCAGTCAATACACCTATGGACCTCAATCGTACACTTTAGGAGAACAGTAGAGAAATGTTTTTAGATGCTTAGCAGTTTCATAAACCGATTGCTAGATTACTATATCTATCTATGACAGCTGGATATTGCATATTGTTGGAATACTTAGTGTCTAAGTCAGTACATGCACTCTCTCAAGACATCACACTTGTTGCTGAACTCGTCCTAAACTACTTGAACAAACATACTAGAGGAGGAATTCTTTTCTGTAAACATACTTGAGGGTGGGCCTTGGTGCAACAGTTGGGTTGCTCCATTATGACATGGGTGACAAGGGTTCAAATCTTGGAAACAGCCTCTCTGTATGTGCAAGGGTAAGGCCATCTTAGAATAGAGCATTGGTAGGATCTTGCGCACTGGGTTGCCTTTTAAGCATGGCCATCTTAGAATAGAGATGCATACAGGTGCAGATTGGGCTGGTTCCATTGATGATTGCAAGCTTACCACAGGCTGTTGCATGTTTGTGGGTAGAAATATGGTGATATGGAGGGGTAAGACAAATAATAGTGGCCAAATCAAGTGCGAAGGTATTGTGCCATGGCACATGGAATGGCCAAAGTATTGTGGATAAGGGATTTGCTAACCGAACTGTGCTTATCTATGACCAGCCCTATATCTCTTTATTGTGTCAACAAGGAGATATTAAGCATTAGCAAACAACCCGGTTCAACATGACAAAACCATACACATTGAGGTTGACAAGGATTTCATTTGTGGGAAGATAGAAAAGGGAGAAATATGTCTTCTATTTGTAAACTCTAAGGAGAAATTAGCTGATGTGTTTACTGTTGTAAGGCCTTATTTAATTGTTACTTTATAGTTGTTGTCAGTAGGCTGACTTCTTAAGATACTGTCAGTTAGTTGCTTTTTCTTTTTTCTTATTAGTTCGGTTCTAGGGTGTGCCACCAGGGGCATAATTGTAATTTCTATTCTTTTTT